TGCACAGGTACAAAGAGTTGCCTATGTGTGAAGCAGCTTCACCTCAAATCAATACTTACAAAAACTTTTTTTTTTGAGAGAGAGAGAGAGCTTGCTTGGGGGGCGGGGGCAAAGGGAAAGGGAAAGAAAGAATCTTAAGCAGGCTCTATGCCCAGCGCTGATCCTGATGTGGGGTTCTATCTATCTCATGACCCTGAGATCATGACCTGAGCTGAAATCAAGAGTTGGATACTTAACCAACTGAGCCACCAGGTGCCACAATACTTGGAAAACTATGGGGGGTGACCACCTGCCTCAGCAAAGGACCCCTCATAAGGTTCCCAAAGGTGAATTTCACAGATACTTCCATCTTAAGACAAATCATCTTATACATACCTTCAAATCGCAAATATCCAAAACATAATTTTATTAATTAAAAGATGGATTGAACTTATTCTCATGTTTACATGTTTGTCTTCTTCTAGTAAGTGATAATCTCCTTAAAGACAGGATTCTATCTTAAACTTTCTAATATAATTTGTGTCTCCCCAGACTTTCCAAGTTTATGGAACTAAAGGAGTAGTGTTACTCCTTCCTTCTCCTCTCCTCACTTTTAATGTGAAGCTTTTACCTTCACACAAAATCTCACCCATTAATTTCTGGGAGTCTGTCATGTTGTGTTTTGTATTTCCTTGAGAACTCAAGTTACCAAGGTACTTAACAGTTGAAGGAAGAATCTCCTCTTGGGCACCACAGTGGCACTATTTTTCACTGTAGTATATTATGGAGAACTTCATTGTAACAGCTCTTTCTCTTTCCATAAGTTAAGGCCAGGGCTCTTAAAGGTTGGCCAAAAGATCAATATTTGAGAGATACCCTATAGTCCTCTCTATTTTCCTCTCTACAGGAAATGAACTCCCTCCTTCTAGATCCTTTGCTTCTACTGTCAAAACCACATATGCAAATAAACTTCTGACTACTTTAACTACAGAAGGAGATGAAGAGACACTATTTCATATTGAACACACCAAATGTTAATACATAAATTAAATATAAATTTATCTTGTTAATGCTAGTGATTTTAGTACTGTTATGTCTCCAAGTTATTTATATCATAAACAATTTTTCAAAATTGCATAAGACATGTTTTATAGTAAAGATATTGGTTTATTTAATATGTCTGCTATATATCTATAAGATATGGGTTTAATTTTATAAAATAATAGCTCCTCTATTAAATGTGAATAGAATCCTGTTCACAAATCTAATTCTTGCATTTCTCTATTGGCCATAACCCATATATAACATATGTATACACTCTTAGGGACAGTCATAACAAGGTTACACTTACTTTTTATTACCTTCAAGTGGGCTATATATTTAAAGTTATCTTTAAAATATTAATAATTTGATATTTTAATGCCAGAGCTTCAATTTTTCTTTGCTCTATGTCCAAATGAATTTCATTCCATGTTGAATTTCTTTGGAGTGTTTCCTATGTCTATGAGACTTATCCTCATTTTCATCAGCTTTATAAGCCTTGAGATAAATTCAAAGCTGCAATGACTGAAATGTAGTTTAAAATTAGGTTAGTTGGTTTCTCATTATAAGTCCCAGGGTCTTCCAAAGTCAAATAATAGTAAAGTTGGCTCCCTTTTCTAAGTTAACATTCCTGCCAGAGATTTAATAATTCTTTCATAAATAATCCCTCTTTTAGGGAAAAGATTCCTGTTTCACTAGGTTAAAAAAAGATCAAAACAGAAACCATCATTTTTGCCCAAGATCATGAAAGAAAAAGCTCATTTCTAGGCTTCTAGTTACTAGATATTTGTCCCACCATTTTAGTAGGCTGTTACACAGGTGTTGGCATACATATCCCAATTATTTGCATTTATTCAATTAGGAAATAGACATTGGTTCAATGAAGGAGTCTCCCCTGACCAGAAACAACATTTCACCAAGTATCATTTTAAATATTGTCAGCTTCTTCTTATAATGTGGCCATTTACTGATATGTGGCATTTGGCGTGTAGCTAAATATTTGTTTCCTCATCTCATATTTACTATGATTCTTAGAGTCAGGATTAATTTTAGTAAAAGCTATGAGGTACCTCTCACACTGTCAGATTATAAGATTCTCAATAAGTATTAGTTATTATCGCCTTTCTCCACATTCTAAGAAAGTAATTACACAATTTTATAACTAAAGTGTCTAGATTTTATAACTGAAGTTCAGATCCATTAAAATAGACATTATTTATGCAACTGCACCTGTTGGATTTAAGGATTTTTAGCACATTTTCCACCAGTTTATTTAACTATTGCTCAGCAATTCACTGCTTTCTCAGTCCCTCATCTGACAGCAGAATAGAGAAATCTTCCACTTTGTATTAAACCTATGGAGACTTTCCTTTGTGGTTTAAGAATAGCCTGACATACAGGCTATTTTTAAACACTCATGTTAGTTAGTATCTGCTCTGGAACATATTAAAAACTAAACTCTGAAGAGAAAACAACTTAGCAGCTATATCTCATGACTAGTGAAGTTTAGCGGTAGCCACGCATTTTAGTGGAAGTGAAAATAATTATAATCTTCCTCCAAAATGGAGGGACTTATCCTGAATGTGCTGGGTAGATATGCATAAAACCAAAGAATCAATTTCTTCTCAGAAACCTAGAGAATACTTCCAAATGGACAGAGAAAAATATAAAGCTATGAAAAAAAAAAAAAAGAAAGAAAAATATAAAGCTATGAATGGATGTTATAAGGAGTCTCATGTCCACCACTGGGTCACCGTGAGAATAAAGGGTAGGAGAAAAGTTATAAAATTTCAGCTCCTTGTATGGCCTGCCCCCAAATTTCTCTCTTATGCGGGGCTGTTGGAAAGTGTTATTATACAAAAGTCACATTAGCCAATGCATGTGAAAGTTCTGCAAACTGTGTTCCATATGATTAATTGTTCATAGGACATGGGAAGTTGAAACATGGATAAAAATATTTTGGTGACCTTAAAAATCTATATAAATTTGAGTAAACATACAAAACTCTTGGACTAGTGATCCTAAACGAAGTCTCAAGTTTCATTCAGAATTGTAAAATCTGTTTCTGTCCCAAATAGTAATTTCCAATAATCTATTCTTTCCTCTGTGCTTAACACACTCACATGCATATATGCACACAAAGTCATTATTACTTTTTATGCTGTACTTCGGAGTGGAGTCAATAACTGCCTTCCTATTCCTCGCCTGTCTTTAAAATTCTGCTGGCAGCCAGCTGCTGCTATAATCAAAGCAATGGGACAGTTCGGGTGTTTGCAACAGCATGGTATTTTGTTATGCAATTGAAAGATAAATATGTCTTTATCTTTCCAACTATCCAGTTTATTTCTGCCAAAGCGTGGTAAAAGTGAAAAGGAAAATATGGGTGAAAAATACTGGGAAATGTAGCAGATACAGAGGGTATTGCTTAAGTTAGAGATGTCCTAATTTGGAAATTTTATTAAGCCAGGTTGGCTGGCCATTTAAGCGATACCTTACAAAATCATCATTCCATTTTTTTAATTTATTTTAAATTTTATTTTAAATTTTTAAATTTTAAAATTCCAAGATTTTATTTATTTATTTGAGAGAGAGAGAGAGAGAGAGAGCACTGGGAGCAAGCACAAAAAAGGGGGAGGGGCAGAGGGAGAGGGAGAAGCAGGCTCCCTGCTGAGCAGGGAACCTGATGCAGGGCTAATCCTAGGACCCGGGGATCATGACCTGAGCCAAAGTCAGACGCTTAACCAACTGAGCCACCCAGGTGCCTCTGGTCATTCCATTTGGTTAAGGGTGACCTTAGTTTTGCAGCCCCAGAAATGTGATTTTGTCATTGCCCCTCTAAGGAATAGACTTCTGGGAACTGATTCATGCTAAGCATAGCTATCAGATTCTGAGTGATTCAGAATGTCACTGAATTCTTTACAAAGAGTAGTATGAGTATTCAGATCTGCTTAGTAGTTATTTCTGTTTCTCAATATATTGCTCCCTTCTGGAAGCAAATCTGTAAGAAAAGTTAAATTATACTAGAAAGCTAATTGGTGAGCATGGGAAAGAACAAGTGAAGCTCAGTTCAGCCCAATTCTGGCTCCTACTATCTTCCAGATATTGCTGAGCACTAGGTATACAAAGATGAATAAGACAAGAGTCTACCCTCAGAATTTCAGTGAGGCAGGGAACCAAAACATAAACATTATATCAGCCAGTGTTCTTAGTGGGAAACCACCTATAATTTTTTCATGCAGAATAGTTAATTTAAACAATAATAAGCTGCTAGAAGGAATTGTTAGAACGTGATATTAGGGCCATATACAAAGGAATAATGCCCCCAAATCACACAGGAAAACCAGTATATAAGGACAACATGGTCACCATCTCTAACCAGAAAATATTACACCTTGCCCTCTTGAGACTCACTGGCACAGTATATACACTGCCACTGTCCCACTACCACCACTCCTCTGCCAGTGTGACCCCCAGGAGTCTGAGCTGCTTTCTAATAGCAATGCGAGAGACTTCCTCATGCTCCCTGAAACTATTGGGTTGGGACAACTAACTGGTAGAACCTAGGTCACATGCTTGCACATTATCTCCAAGAGAGCCTGGGTAAGCTAACACGGCACTTTCAATTTCTATAAGACATTAGGCTCTGTTTCCCTCCATATGTATGTATTTTCTAAGCAGGAGAAGAAAGTTGAATTCTGGACAGCCATCAATAATGATGAATGTCTTCCAGAATTGACCATTGTCAATATAGTAAGTAAAGTATAAAAGTGGAACTATACTTTGGTTTCTAGATGGAGACAGAGCATACTCATCAAGGAATTGGCAAGATTATTTTCATAGTCGTGGCTAAAAGCTATGATAATCTTATACATCTATCTCCATTAAAATCAAGACAGGCAACAGCAAGAACTCATATCAATCTAGTGCACATGTAGTTCAAGATATTCTTGCAAGGAATAAATTCTTCTTCTTATTTTGCAGAGGTAAATGCCAAATTTGGTCAGATTAAGCAATTGTGCCCAGATTCCCAACTGACAAATAGAAGAAAATGGTGCCAAGCCAGGTATGTCTGATTGTAACAAATCTACTTTTTATGGTATATCAAATGTGTCTTAGGATGTATTTGGTCTTGGTTATTCCATCCAGAATTGACCAGAGTCGGGGGACTGTCTCACAATACTACACACATAAAACAAACTGACAATTTTGAATGCCAAATATTGCAGATCAAATACTCAGTCAACATGCCCTCTTCTCTAGCCAGTGTTGAAAGTCCAGTGACAAAATCTTATAATAATTCTTTTCTGGACATCGTGTAGATACCCTTTCTTCCTAGCAAAATCTTTATATATACACATAAATACTAACTAGATGGATCTTCTGTTTCAGAGCCCATCACATTTCAGTCACAAGATAAAACCCAGGCACCTTAATTAAACTTGGGTGTTTCCCAATTCTCCTCTGACCCACATTTACAAAACGTATCATAGGGCAGGTAACTTACATGTGGCTAATCTTTTCCATTACATATTGATTCAAGTTCCAGAAAATAAATGTACTTTTATCCACCTACATATAATTGCACTGAAGTGCATATAAACTTGAGACATGCACATTTGCATAAATGTCAACAAAACTATACTCCAGAGCAAAAGCACATCACCTCTGCCAACAACCAACATGATCATCTGCCTATGAAATCTCAGGTCCCTCCCTGTTCCTTCTTCCACTGTTCTTCTGTACCAGAAGTGTCTGACCCCTTATGAATTATACTTCTCAGCTTCCCCTTCCCAGTGGCTTCTTGTAGGTTCTGATGATGATACACACTGACAAGAATTCGGAAAGCAGGGAAAGGGAAGAAGGAAGGATATTTCTTTTCTGACTCTCTTGGATTTGCATCTGGTGAACCCAGACTCTACTAAAACTCTGATAACACCTCTCTTCCCTTTTTTGCCCAGCTCATGGAATTTTAATGGTTTTCAGATGTTGTTGATCTCTGGGCTGCTTCATTGTCCCCTATTTGCCCTACTGATTCTCCATCATCTTTGTAACTAATCTCCACATTATATACTCTCAATTAAGCTACTTGGTATGGATCTTCTTTTTCCTGAGTAGTCTTTGACTGATATTTCTCGGGTATTATGCTGAGCGAAATAAGTCAAACAGAGAAAGACATGTATCATATGACCTCACTGATATGAGGAATTCTTAATCTCAGGAAACAAACTGAGGGTTGCTGGAGTGGGGGGTAGGGTGGGAGCGATGGGGTGACTGGGTGATAGACACTGGAGAGGGTATGTGCTCTGGTAAGTGCTGTGAATTGTGCAAGACTGTTGAATCTCAGATCTGTACCTCTGAAACAAATAATGCAATATATGTTAAGAAAAAAAAAAGAAGAAGATAGCAGGAGGGGAAGAATGAAGGGGGGGAAATCAGAGGGGTAGACGAACCATGAGAGATGATGGACTCTGAAAAACAAACTGAGGGTTCTAGAGGGGAGGGGGGTGGGAGGATGGGTTAGCCTGGTGATGGGTATTGAGGAGGGCACGTTCTGCATGGAGCCCTATGCACAAACAATGAGTCATGGAACACTACATCTAAAACTAATGATGTAATGTATGGGGATTAACATAACAATAAAAAAATTTTTAAAAAAAGAAATAAAGAGAAAAAATTAAACAATGATGGGATAACAAGTGTTGAAAGTTCACGTAAGAAAAAAGGACAGTTATAAATGACAGAGTATGAATCACTTAAGCCTTGAAAATCCTGTTCCTGTGCAACTGACAATAATAAGCTTGAGAAAAAGTAATAGGAAAAAAACAGAAAAAAATTGTTTGATTGGCTCAAGATCAATATCAATTAATTTAGGAAGCATATAGAAATTTGAGAATATAAAGCCTGAAAGAGGAAGTAGTCCTTTTGGTCAACCTACCATCAGAAGTCTTACACTATTCCTCAGGCTGAAGACCCACACAAGTCTGCAATCTTCAAAATGAGTGTCAAAGCAGCAAGAGAGGATGCTGCAGTTGCTGAAGCCCTCCCTAAACACTTCCAGAGACCACCAGGGAGAGAAGTCACCTGCCTCAATAGATGTGCAATGTAGAATAATCTGAGTTGAGAATGATGCCCAATAATATGCAAATAAGCAAAGTAGAGGAGGGTTAGTTTTAAAAACTTGATGGAACACTCATCTTCAAATTTTATGGAAATGGCTATAGGGATTGCCTGTAAGGTTGAACTCCTCTTGATGACTTTGGTCTTATAAAGAAAACATTCATCAAAAAGTACTCTTAAGGTATCTCACTCCTCTTTTAGAGGAAAGTCACAATGATAAAATAGCCAGCAATAAAAAATAAAATAAAAGTTCAACTTAAACATTTTTAGCCTTAAAAAAAAAAAACACAGTAAATTGTTGGGGATCTGTGGCCTTAACTTTCATGTTAATTACTGTTTAAGAGCACTTTGGAAGCTCTACAACATGCAAGAATTTAAGAAATGTGGATGTCATTAACCAGCTACTCAGCACCCATCCTCAGTTGCAACTTGGTCAGTTCCCTCCTCCTATGTGAATAGAATAACACCCTTAAAGTCATAGTTTAAAAAACAGACATACAAAACCCAGCCACACAAAAGGTAAAATTTTATTTTATTTTATTTTTTTAATTACAAGCAGTATGAGGATACACATAGGAAACATGTGACCTCTCCAGTTGTGATTCAGGAGAAAGCCAAGAACCTCTCCAAATAGTTCTACAATATGAAGATTCAAGAATGTATCGGGGGAAAAAACACTCAAAAACTGGATTAGGATGTTTCCTTCACTAACACCAGTGGCTTAAAGAAATTTCTTTTGATGTGATTAAGAATAGTAATGGAATTGAATCTTAGATATAAACAAATCTGCGTATTGATACTAGACAGAGATGGCTTCTTAATCCTAAAATACTTACTTAACTCATCTGATTCATGTAACTCATTTGTTTCCCTTTAGCCAGACAAGGGCATTTTCTTAATAACTATATGAAAAAAATGGATTGTTCCACTTTAGTTGGCTCTAACTTAAAAACCTATGAAGTTTAATGTAAAAGAAATTTGCCATAAACCAGTATACAACCTAAAGGTTTTCAAAACAAAAGTTATTTCTCATTTCTTTACTAAAAAGTCCTTGCCCATCCAACATTGTATAGTTTTAAAACATACTTCCAGTTTAAATAGCACAGTTATTGAAATGCAGTATATCTGGACTCAGAATACATCAGAGCATTATACACAGTGAGTGCAATGGAAGAGGATAATCACCTTTGGGATTGCAACTATTTTGACGCTACCTAAGTCAGGCAAGAACACTGCTGTTACAGCTACATACTGTGGCTATTGCTAGAAATTCTGTCTGCATTTAGCAACTGGGAATATGAAAACAAACATCGTTCCAACTAAAACAATAGTCAAAGTAACCTTTTCAATTGAATTGTTTCTTGCAATAATGAAATTGTAGTACATGCCCCTTGGTTTATTTGCAATCATTTCAGCATGCATTTTTCTCACTGAAGCCACTTTACACATCTTTAATAGAAATATTTTTTTTTCTTTTTTTAATCAGACTACTTGGCAGTCTTCACAGTTCCCTGGGCCCTTTTATTTATCTTGAATCCTGTATCTATAAATGACACAAGAAAGCAGAAGCTAAGAGAGTATTACTAAGAAGACCAGAAGGTGAAGGGATCTCATGGATTCAGGTGCAGTAAGTCTCTTGAGTGTGATGTTCCTTTGGTCCACTGGCTACACCTGACTGGAACACTCTGGACGATTATCAAAATTCATAGTGATATCCTTATGTTTCCAGGCCAACCTTTCACAAAGACTTGGGTGGTGAGCTTAACAGCAAACCTGGCTTAGTTTTGCTGGCACTTGCTATTTTGAGAAAATACTCAAAGGTCCTTCCTGTCGTAAAACACTGGATAGAGGAAAGCTAGGAAAAGTCCAACTTTAATTTCATGAATTTGCACTTGCAAAAACACATATCTTCACCAAAATTAAGAAGACGTGAGAATTTGGCTCCAAGCAAAATTCCACTCCTGAGACAGCAGGATTGAATGCAGATTTCTGCTGTGGGCAAAACCTCACTATTATTTCTAGACAATAGGGCTTTCTGTAGTGAAAATGGTGGCGCTCTGCACATAGAATGGCCACGAGCCAGTTCCCAGTTTTCTCCAGTGGATTTGCCAGATTGGCTAAGGGAGAGAATATTTTCACACAGACTGGTAATATGTCTGATGAAGCTTAGGGAAAATTAATCCAGTTAACCTTTTTTTTTTTTTTAAGATGATCTGAAAGTTCAGAGAAAATATATTAAATCACTTCCAAGGGGTACAGTAGAGACCCAACTTTATAATCTGCAGGGGAACCACCCTCAAGAAAGCTCTGCATTTTTTTAATGCCTTCAGGGTGATATAGATCAGTGCTTCTCTCACGTTATTGCTCATACGAATCACCTGAGGATCTTATTTAACTGCACATTCTAATTCTGGGGGTTGGGAGTGGGACCTGAGAGCCCCCATTTTAACCAGTTCCACATGATATTGAGGCTGTTGATCTGCCCACCATACTTTGAATAACAAGGATTTCGATGAGCATATGATAATTCACCTAAGCAACTGGTTCACAAATACTCAATACACTTAATTAGTTAAAAAGTATAATTGACTGAAGAATAATGTGAATGAAAAGGTACTTAAGTACCTAACACAACTCAGCAATAAAAAGGAGTAAACTATTGATTAACACAAGTTGACTGGATCTCTGGGACTTAAACTGAGTGAAAAAAAAAAAAATCCTAAAATGTTACATACTATGGTTCCATTTATATAAAATTTTGATAACAAAATTTTAGAGTATAAATTAGTGGTTTTCAGAGATTAAGGATGAGGGTGGGAGAATGGGAGGAAGGTAGGTGTGATTATATGCAGGTTTTGAATTAGGAGCTAAACGTATACAGATGAAGAAGGAGATCAGTCTAATATAATGTCCCAGCCTTATAGATGACAAAAGTATAGTTCAGACTCTTGCCCCTGTTAAACAGCTGAATTCTCCCTGAGTAATACAGTTAACTTAATTTCTAATTCACTTTCCTTTCTACCAGTTAATACAATGATTTATTGCAATGCAAATCATTTTCAAATTTCAAATTTTACAAAATTTAAGACAGATGAAAATGTACTCATCTGAAATGTACATCAACTCTCTAAGGCTAGCAAATATTTTAAATTTATAAAAGGCATACCCTAACCAAGAAAAAATTAGGTTTATAATCCCACATGAAATCCTCCTTAGAGGGTGCCTGGGTGGCTCAGTTGGTTGGGCGACTGCCTTCGGCTCAGGTCGTGATTCTGGAGTCCTAGGATCAAGTCCCGCATCGGGCTCCCTGCTCAGCAGGGAGTCTGCTTCTCCCTCTGACCCTCCCTCCTCTCATGTGCTCTCTCTCTCATTCTCTCTCTCAAATAAATAAATAAAATCTTTTAAAAAAAAAAATCCTCCTTAGATAATTATGTCAAGTAACAATCACTGTCTCCCATGATCTCTTACAAGGGAGTGTTGTGATAAATTTCCCATCTTAAATCCATCTCTAAACTGTAACAAGGATCAATATGGCAGACTGTATTGGCTGCTTACACCACAAACATTTCCCTTCCTCCTTTTACCAATACCTCAGTCTGTTCTGGCAGCTCATGTCCATATCCAGATTAATCCAGGCAAGACAACCTTGTGCTGAAGTTTCCATCTACCTATCCAAATCCTACTTCCTCACACTGTTCCCTCCCCCCACAAGGTTGATCTCTATGGACAATATTGATGGACTCCTTTGTCATCTGGCTTTGAGTTGGATTTAGCCAATGAGCTAGCTGTGGTCAGACAAAGGGAAATGAGTAAGGCTGGGGTATTTCCTCTTCCAGTTCCTTCCTCATGAAGTCACTGTGCACCAACTACATCATGTGACCAAAGACTATAACTCCAATCAGTTGTTTCTCTCCACACAACTCTCTTTGTCTCCAGTTTCAGTAGCCACTTCCTCCATGTGTCACTTTAGGGCAAGGTGAGAATGTAACCCCCTCCTCTTAATAGCATACACTTAACAGTGGAAGCACTCTCTCTGTGGTTTCTCATCTCTTCAATTATCACTTTGTAAAGAGTTCTTTAAATTATCCAATTTGAGTATGCTTTTTCCTGACTGATACATAGGGGTTTTTCTGTTTGTTTTTTCCTTACCAGATGTTCATATTCTCAGCTTCCTTTCCAGTTGGGAGTGGTTAGGTGATCTGATTCTCTCCAATGAAATATAAGGGGACATCAGATAAAGAATTTGGGGAATGGCTTTACTCCCTGACAAAAGACATAGCAGCTTGGGAATAGCAGCTTACCCCTTTCTCTCCCTTATTAATTTAGATGTTTGGGGGTAAGTACATGATATATGGAGTGACCAATCTGTGACCATGAAATATCAACCTGAGGATAAAAGCCAGCACACACAGGAAGGTGAATGGGGAGAATGATATCAATAGTTTAGGCTTTGAAGACAGTACTGCCTTATACTGACTGCATTTAGATTTCTTGTAAGGCATGCAGTATGCGCCCTTAAGGTTTAAACTTTTATTAATCAGATTTTCTTTGTGTGCAACCAAATCATTCCTAACTGATGGGGTAGTCGATCTTTATTGCAAATATGACCTTGCCATTTCCCTGCTTAACATATTCTAGTGGTCATCATCATCCACAGAATAACCTCCCAGCATAGTGTGCAATATCCTCAGGCTTTTATCCTTGACAGCTTCTCTACCTTGGCATGTTGCCCTTTACCTGGTACACTGTTAATTCCAATCTCCTGTGGTTCCTCACAGCGTGGCATTTCTAGCCTCTGTATCTTTGTTTGTGTTGAGTCTCCTTCCAGAAACATCTTTCCTACCTTCTTTCTCTACTTTATTCATCTTCCAAGAATACAGTGAGCAAAATAGGTCAGTATTTGTTATTGAGTACCAAAATCTACTCAGGATTATTCAACAAGGGAGAGTGACAGAAACAACTTTGGGTCGTTCACAGAAAGCTGTGAGACTAAGCTTAGAAAACAAGCAGGAAGAAGAGAAACTAACAGCTGGAGACAGAACAAAACTCTGGTGAAAAATGAGTCCAGCAAGCCCTGCTGCAGACTTTCTAAGGAACGGGCACCTCTGCTTACTCAACAGCCAGCTATAGACAATGGAAAACTCAGTGTTGCCGTGGCTGCCTTCTAATACCAGAATGAAGATTTCATGATCTAAGCTTCTTTGCCTCACCAACTTCCAGTACAAATCTAGGGAAGGTGCATTTGATTGGCTGAGCCTAAGTCAACTGCTGATTCCCTAACCAAGAAAGTCTCTAGTAACTGTACTTGCTTTGGAGGGAGGTCTCAAATTAAAACTACATATCAAAAAATTTACCTCCTATAAGAAAAAGGTTCAGATGATGGGTTACCAAAAATAATTATACACATCCAGTATAATTTCAATAAAATGTGCTAAATGCAATAGTAGCTATACAAATGAATTCAGTCAAAATACAGAATAAGTAGTTACCGCCAAACCAAGCCTGTACAGAGAAATAGTGAGAAATATTTTCTATTTTCTAATAAGCTGCATAAAAAATACACAAAAATAGTTAAAATTAATTTTAACATACTTAACCTAACACATTAAAATACTGTTTTGACATTCAATCAATATGAAGTTATTAATGAGATATTCTTACATTATTTTTCAGTATTAAGTCTTTGGAATTTGGTGTGTACTTTGCTCTTTCAGCACATCCCAAAATGGTTATTAACCAATTTCAAGTGCTCAGTAGCTACATGTGGCTAGCTGCAATTATGTTGGGTAGCATATATCTACATAAATACAGCAATTAGGAGAGGAACAGTGACATGGATCATCTGCCCAGTGAGTAACTGTGAATTATATGTATTTGACTTCAGAATGCCAAGCAGACCTTGCTAATTATTGTTTTGCCCTGGCTTAGAAAGCCATCTAACATGAATTACTTAGCACTCTGAGCTATGAGAGATAAAGAAGACATATAAGGTCAGGGTAACTGAGATGGGGAGCAAGAGCAGGGTTTCTGGAAGTTTTGTCATTTAAATTGCTAAGTTTCAGGTACCTTGTGACAACTGACCAGTGTGGTCAGAATGCTAAGTTTAAGTTTTGAAGCTGTTTGCATTTAGGTTGAGGCCAAGGGGAGCGAATGAAACCTAATAAGGAAAGAGTGTAGAGATATAAAAAAAAAAAAAAAAAGGTCAATGATGAGTCCCTAGGGCATGTCAACATTAAAATTAGAGAACAAGAGGACTGAGAATAGTGTTCATAATGGTAAAAGAACCAAGAATAACTAGGTTCTCAGAAGCCAAGAGTCTCAATTACAAAATGATTTTCTTCTTGGGAAGCTGACTGAATTTGGAGTCATTTCCCAATGTATGTACATAGGTTCCACTAAAAATTCACTATTAAAAAATAACTTTAATTTTGCTCTTACAATAACCTTATTTGCTCTTGGTTAGCACTCATTTCCGTTTCACACAGAATCTCTTCTCAACCTGTCATGTCCCTTTAGGCTCCCACCTACTGCTTCCCTCCTGCCCAATCACTCCATGACCCTGCCTCCCTCTTCGAAGAAAAGATAAAAACCTTCAGGCTGGAACCCTGCTCTTCCTCAACAT